AAGCCAATTACGTGGCCACTTTTCATATTCGGATGGCGCTAAATATGTTTCCAATAAATGGAAAATGCATACTGTATATCTCAACAACCCTCTGAGTAGATTACAAAAATTTAATGAACCACAAGTTTTCGAATTAAAAACTAACTCCAGGCAAATGCTGAGTTTGCAAGTCGAACTGTCTACGGAGACTTTCCTTGTCACGTTCGGTATCTTTTACATGCTGTTGCAAGTCTTCGATACGCCGCTGAGCATCCTGGAAAACAAAAGAAGCATAAAGCTAGTAATTTCTAGTCTTATTAATTTCCATTAAAAGATTACCAGATGAAATTCTATACGATATAGTCTGCATGATAATCAAAGGAATGTGAAGTTCTTATAAATAAAATTTAACATATCATTAACCTATTCCTCGGAATAGCAGATTAATTTTGGTGCTTATTTTATTGTACAAAATATGAAAAACTTTCGAAATCATAGGACAAAAAATTTTGACCTAAAACTAGTTACCTGCAACTGTTCAAGTAATTTGTCGCGTTCATCAAGCATATTCACCATCAGCTGCTCTATACGATTCTGTTCACCAGCCACGCCCGACAAATCACATGATTCAGTGCCAGATCCCTACAAAAGATGAAGATCGACTAACAAATTTATTTCTTTTTAAACAGCAAAAAATGGAAGTTAAGAATATTACTACACCTGCGGAGCATCATCGCTGTCTTCAGAAATAGTTGGCATCACATCGCACATCATTGTCCCGTTCCAACTCATTTTGTTTTTCACTTCCTTATGCCTGCAATGATTTCTGTATTTTAAATACAAAAAAATTTGACTGTAAAGATAAACAAAAACCAGAAAATTTTTTCGTTTAAATTTATGTTTACCTTTCCCGTTCAAATAACAGTGATATTTGTCACCGTAAAATGAAAACCGCATATGTGTTCACTGAAGGTGCAAATGAAAGCATTCATCGTCCTACCGTTAATGTTAACTTAAGGCCTCTAATGCATTACAGAATTAGAGCAGCAACGAAATTGAAAGTGATTTAGTACTGAAGTTGGAAGCTGTAGTGAAGATAATTATGATAAATGTTGATAATTCTAGCAGTAATCTATCGACCAACAAAAGAACAAACGTCCTACATAATATCAAGATGGTACCACTGATCCTGAAAAACTTTTCGACTCTATGCAACAATAATTTATTTCAGGTCTCTGTGAATACAGTACAAATCAACTGAGATTAGAAGAGATGTGTGAACATACCAAATTAATGCAAAGCGTCCGCGGTCAAAATCATTCAAAAATTAATTGTAAAACACCTGAATAATTGAGGGATAGAGTCAAGCTTCGAATCTTTAATTCTAAAAAGTGAACTGAGTCCCTATGAGAATGAATACAAAAAAAAATTAACCAATAAATCATTGCTCTTATTTCAAACAACTCTACAGAAGGAAAACGATAGCATCCACACCTTCATCCAGTGAAAAGATCTTTCCCTTGCTTTTTCATTGCTAATGATTACAGTATATCATTAGAGATAAACCAAATTCTTTTCATCACTTCTGATAGCAGTGGAAGAAAAAATGGGCATAAAGGAAGGAGGCAATAACTACCGAAGAGATAAAAAGGATAAAAGGTAAACAGGATGTGATTTACCCTCCCTTTTATTTCTATTACTATGAGTAAAGGAATTGTAAGTGTACCAATGCTGAACAGCTGTTTCCGCAAGCAGCGGTGCTTCCGCTGACCCTTAGAAATGTTAAACATCTGCGCGGATTCAGCCTGATATTTCCATCACACATATTCTCTAGCAAAGCGCAAGTCAGAAATGAAATAAACTGACCACAAGTGATCAAAAAATGATAAAAAACCATGAGGAAAAACAGGTTAAGAATCATAGAAAAGACGCGAAGCAAATCAATATTAGTATATATTGGTGTCATTCACATAATTTACTAATAGACAAAACAGTGTTTTAGATCCAAAATTTTAAAGCAATACACAATGATTTCACTATTATTGGGCACGTCTTCAACATCTTTACTCTTACCCCTGATAGCCTTCCTAATATAACACACTGCAGAATATTGATCCTAAAAACCAAAAGCATCTTCTTAAGTATGAACACCCGTTATTATTTTGAAATTATTTAATAACTGCATTGCAGACCTTTCTATTATCACTGATATCTTTCACTCTACACCTTTCATGAAATAATAGTCAACAAAAGTGTGCAGTATGAAATCGTAAAAGTCGCAGCTATATTGACTCTGTAACGACGTCATTTTATCGATTTTTTGAATAGTACTGCAGAATGTGGTGTCTTCCCAAAAAGGATTTAGCTTCAAATATGTGAATTCAAGAATTATACACCTGCTCCAGAAGAGATATTTAAATATATTTAAAAAAGTATAGATTTCTATACACACTTTTCCAGATGTATTTAAAAGATAGATTAAAACGATGATAAACATAATATACAAATGAATGAAGTATATTACACCTGGATTTCTATACCATAGATATATCTTTTTTAACAACACATCTCTAGCATACTCATTTGACAATGCGAGAAAATCGATAAAATATTTCTAGCAGTCCGGAAATTAACAACGGCATGCAAACATTCATGCACTACCCAACAGTGACGGATAATATCTACTAACTGCCAGGAAATAACTTTTGCACTCAGAAACTCATCATCAAATAGTAAAAGTGATGGCCAGTGAGATCAGTCATAACACATAACCATGCAGAGATGCGAGCAACGATATAATCTCAATCTCACGTAAGGAAATCGTTAACTGACCCAGTCTTATTCTTCTAAGTCATTTGTGTAATACAACATGCTTTCAGTGGAAAATAACACTTAGGTAGCAGAATAAACAATCACAATGTGACACACTAGACGCAAATATGTAGCATATTTAGATGGGTATCAGAGATAAAATATATGGACAATACTCTACCGTGACTGAAATGTGGTGAAAGATATCGAATGCTATTCGTCTGACTACGCATAATGATTTGTTAATTATGAATTTAAACAAATATGTAGATTTGAATAATTAATTTTACAAACAGGAGGTCTGATCTGCAGTAATTATAAGTCAATTACTATCCTTTTTTGTTACAAAAAAAGATACTTTCATTAACAGCTGCATACCACCTCACTATATTAAATATATAGCTAAAATATCCGAAATAGCCACACTGAAGATTCATCCAACTCGGATAGAATTCCTGAAACGAATTCGGTATTTTTTAAAAAAATATAGATGAAGTAAGAATGTATGAAACAAACAAATAGAAAGCCTAATTGAGGATACACGCAGCTAGCAGCATTCTTGATAGCTACAAATAATTTGATTTTAAAAAAAAATTGTTCAGTAAAAAGGTTCAAGAGACATAGACTGTTTTTGATGGAAGGCATTATAGTTGGTTGTGTTGCAGCGCAGATACTATTGGCTGGTTTAATGAGATAATTTCTGCCAATCAATTAAACTTCCCAGACCGAATTTCTGAACTAACCCTATAAAACTGCAGATGTGTAAATGGTCTACACTACGAGAGTAATTCAACAACTCTTCAACAAAGTCGCCAGAACTCTGAATCGATATGATGGGAAGGCGACAAGATGGTTATTTGAAATGATTGTTAGCCATTTATAAGCAACCTGACCGTAAACATCACGTGAGACTTCGCTAGTGCCACTGTTTCTCTTTATTAAAGTTATCCTCACTTAAGGATATGACAAATGGCCTAATGCGTGATGTAATGCAATGAGAACAAACTGAACTGGCTGATTACTACAGCTGATCATTCTTAGAGCGTAAAATCTATGTGAAAAAGATGTGACAACGAGAATCAATCCCAAACCCAGTATCCATGGGTGCAACTCTACATGTGTTACTTCTCGGTCAGCCAGTGAATGTAGCTCATTTCTTGGTTGTGGGAGAAATGTCTGTCCAGCAAACACGGAGCCATGAAATCCGTCTAATGAGACAAATAGCGCCATATGTTGAACTATTTCATCTTCCGTCAGTAAAAATGTATTGATTTACATTGCCGCCAACATTCGTCGGTGCCACCCACTTTGTCTGCTTGAAGTATTGATTGTCCCGTAATTGATACAACTGATAAAAGTTAAAAATTTCATCATTAAGCCATCAGTGCTCCTACAATCTCGTCTTTATTTCTTAACACCTTTATCTTCCCTTCTTTGTCATAAAAATGTGACTGCAATGCTTCCCGCATTATGAAAAAACATTGTCTAATCGATGGTTAAAGTCAGACGCCAACCCTATCTTTTTCAAAGAAGACCAAAACGGCTGCCGTTAGAGTGTCTTTTTTCATTATGTTTTAAGTGCTTTATCTGCAATTCTGGAGATGTGAGGCATCCTTCTCAGTATCACAATCCATAATAAATAGAAACATATTGTTCTAAACTTCAATACAGAAACATCGAGAATATTTCCTGTTAGTCTCGACACTTCCATTCGTCTTTTACAAGTGTGCACAAAATTCATGCAAAAATAACGCTGCAGCAATAAGTTAACTGACTTCTGACTTTCACTTAGTAACTTGTCAAACAGCAATATGAAGACCAAATTTCCAGTAGAAAGCTTATCGACTGTTTTAAGGAAACTTATCTTTTCAATCAGTCACCAAATAAGCAGTGCAAACAATTAGATTTTTTATGTACTCTGTTCAGTGATGCCTGAATTTACGTTGATTAACACTGAATTACTTCTTGTCAAGAGTCCAGGTTCTGGACATCTCTAACCCCTACTAGATTTCGTACCGTAGTGTATAGCGGCGCATCAAACAGCGAATGTTTTATTAATAATCTGCTACTATAGCCAACTTGTTAGCATACAAAATCAGAAATGAAAACTAGGAAATAATTTCTGGAAGCGACGAGGTATATGGACCCTCAGCATTGACTTCTGACGACTGACTTGTAAGCAGAAAATAATTGCCAGTAGATATCTACAGTCACAATCCCTTATTGAAAAAAACACGCTGTGTTGCAGGCATATTCATGCCCATGTGACCTTTCAGTTCTTCATAGGTTGCTGGTTCGTAGTGCATCAATGTTGTAGCTTTAACACTACTGAAAAAAAATTGGAGAAGCTCAAATTCAGAGTGATTTTGATTACATCATGTTTGCCTCGTGCGCATCCCGCGTCTCCCTCCTTCTGTCTCCTAATCTTCCTATATCTCGAAACAATTTCTAAATATGTGAACAAAATTTAAAGGTTTATGGAACCCAGCTAAAAGAATAAGCATACTTGATTTGCGGAAATAGTGCACAGCCGACTGGTACCATTGATCCATATCTGCAAAACTACTGACATAAATTTTGAGAATTATGACCAAGTATGTGCCGAAAAAAAACACTACCACTACTTCGCACTGTATTTTCCTCCTAAACCTGGCATTCATTTTAGCACATTGGGGATTTAAAATTTACAACTCCTCTAAAATTTTTGTCTGGCAACTATGCTTTTATAGACCGCGCGATGAATCGAGTGAAACATCACGAATTCAATAGGAATTTCTCCAACTGCTATTGTTAATTCTTGTGATAATTACCAACAAAAGTTCGGTCGTTGCTGTTATATGCTTTTGAATGTAATGACCAAACCATACAAATAAATACTTACAAGATAAAAGTAAGTACAAGCTGCGCTGGTATGTTCAAGAATTTTGCGCGATTGCTATACCAGTTGCATTTCTCCATAGCATTCATAATAAGGGGTACAAGTACTGTAATAATAAATTCATTATAATAAGTGGTTCAATAATACTACTCAAAGAGCAAAAATTTAATACACTGCAAATGATCCAAAATTTAAATTGGAAGAGAACCAACACATGCTTGGAGTCACAATAACATTACGTGAAAACACCACCAAAGTTATTGCTTTATATGCTGCCATCTGCAAATAAAAAATGTGTACAAATTTTGTTAATTAAAATGTCGCAAGTGGATAAAAAAGAAATACCTTTGATTTCCCTACTACTTGTCCTGCTTCATTCGTCACTGGAAGGCCATCAAGTAGCTCACTGTAAATTTGAAACGAAGTAAATATTTCTGGTCCATAATATCGTTGTTTTCCGTAAGTAGGCGAAAACGGTGAAAAATCAAAAATATAGTACTTTTGTCGTGTGAAGGGGATATTGATGGCATTTGCAACTGCTACCGCAACCAAAGGCACGAAACGCTGGAACAGGGGCGAAAACGCACGCTAAAAAAAAAAAAAAACCTAGCGATAGCAGTGCCTTCGCAAAACTATTAGATGAGCTTTCCCTAATACTGAAAAAACTCTCCCAGTCTTGGTAGCTTCAATAGGAACAGATGCACATATCCAAGCTGCTAACTGCCTATTATATAAGGCTTTAAATCTCAGCAAGTATGAAATAAGCAGAAAAACGAGTAACCTTTGCTAGATAATTCTTTAAGCTTACAGCAACGCCAAGTGCACCAGTAACCGCTGAGGTGTACGCAACCAGTAAATCCCTGCAAATCAAATGTCAAAGCAACAAAAATTCAGTTATAACATTACTAGATGTCACAGTAACAATTATAGGAGCATAAGTATCATCTTTTTTGATATTCCAAATATAATACTGAAAAAAATGAGAAAAGAAATAATCACATATTTTCACAGTACGGGCTTAACAAACTTCGAAGATTTATGACCAAATTAAAAAAAAAAAACAACAACCTTTTTGATAAAGGACTTTGCGCATTCCGATTGGTATAATTGACAAGTGCATTGAAGGACTGATTAGCCCACTGCCAGAAAACTATGGCTTTTGTACTCCTACAGTAATGGAACACGAATCAAAGCGCTTTTTAGTCAAGTCTATGGATTTACACTCAAATCAGTTTTTTTGAATACTTAATACTTCTTCATTGAAAATTAACCTGATGAGATTAGAGGCATACAACTGCATCGCATTCAAGAATATTGTCAGTGAAACCTAACCAATGCCCTATAATCCTACCAAAACATGCCGTAGCACTCACTTGTACCACAGCATCATTGCTCCGCAAAGCAATGTACCACCCCATGCATTAGCGCACATACGTCCCGGTAGTGTTTGCAATTGGCCAGTGTCCGGATGAAACGCTGAACCATAAAACGCTTGAGCGCGCTGCAAATCTTCCATAGTAGTACCACATGGCTCTTTGCCAACCCTATCAAAGAAGAATTTGTAAGATCGGTGCAATTTACGATTTAAAAATCCTTTTCAATTCCTCACCACATGGAAAAAAAAAAAAAAAATTAAAGAATAATTGATTTTCTCGTATAATCGTTCTACACATCGAAATTAAATACATGAAGTACAAAATTATTCCAAAGACTACTTTATCCATTCATAAAATGTTAACAACATGTAATGTGCCAGTCATCTGCAGAAAGATTTCTTACTTAATCATAAAACATTGTCCAAAGACTTCTCTCATTAAGACCTAATTTAGTGTTAGAAGTTTCAAACCTGTATAATTCAAGCAATCGTTTGCTATATTGAAGTGTGTCCTGGCTAGCAAATGCTTTCAGCGGATCAGTAATAGTTATAAAATAACGCAAACGTCCCAAAAATCTACTTTGGTCCCACCTACAAACAAATTTAAGTGAAAAAAATAAAGTTCCAGCAGGAAAATATGTAAAGAAATCAGTGGGGAAAGCAAAGAGAACCCCTGAAGTCGGAAATTAATCACTTTCAACACCTCTATTTCAGTAGTATGAAACAGTATAAGATTTACAGGTTTCCTTATAAAGAATTCAAAGAAAGATTTGCATCCCGTTTAACCTCATAAACCAGATAGTAAATTTAGAAATGACTTGCAAAATTGTGTTACCTTGGATTATCAATATTGTACCTCTGCAATCTTAATTCGGCGGACATCCCAAACTTCAACTGACTTCAGCTTTCATTTCATTATCGATCGACAAATAATTAGCTAAAAGTTTGCCTCGGAAGAAATTGTTTGCAGTGCGCATAAAAGCAAAAATAGCAGAAATGATGACATATGGAAATCGCACGTAAGAAGGAAAAACTTAAGTCAGTAAATACAATATAAGATGAACAAGCTTCTCTATATAGATATTATCCACCCAAAATCATATATTGTCAGTAGAAATGTAAAGACAGGTTGCTGGGAACTATTCGTAAATTTCAACAACTTATTGGAACACAACATTTTTATCTGAATAACAATATCTACAACAATAAAACAACAACAGCACTATGGGAAAACCCTAAATTGTGATCGTATGCAGAAGTCTGCATTAAGGAAAAACATATCTCACAAGGAACTCGAAGTTCTTAAGTCCCATAAGTCTTGCAGAAAATTATCATTTCCTCGATGGATATATATATGAACTCTTAGAAAAAATTTATGTTTGAAAGCACCACAATATGAAGAAAACAAGCCATATGTTCTAAGCTGAAGAGAGTGGTATGATGCTTGCAAAACTTGCCTATTTACATTTCTTTATAAACCTTGAAAAACTTAAAATCAGAAATTGTCAAACAAAAATATGAGCAAAGTCGAATAGCGAAAACATTTTAACGATACTGATATGTTACCGTTTTCATGTATTGGACCTGAATAAATTGTAACTGACGAAAAAATAAGTGGCAAGAATGTAACGACGATGCTAAATATCCTCTTTTCACTATCCAAATGATACACTTTAAAGAAGAAAGAACTCATTAAATGCTGCAGTTATATATTTTCGAAAAAAACTAATTGGAATTTTGAAATGATGATTGCACCCATGACAGACCAGAGTTTATTGATAGTGGAAAAAAAAGAAAAAAAAAAAACATCAGAATGAATCGAAACCCATGATTTACCTCCCCCTATTCTTCTTTAATTCAAACTTAATCACTGTTTACCAGTACCTTTTACGAACATCTAGATGAATAATCTAGGTATTCGTAGCCCATATCACCTAAAATCATTTTACTTACATGCAGCAAAATCTATCAATTGCACAAATACTAAAAAATTTTTTCAAAACATATTTCATACAAATTTTTCCATATAAATCTGCACAGGACTACCTGAAGGGATCTTCCCCTAAAAGTAGCAAAAATTGACAAAAATATTTGAAAAAAGCAGTTGAGTCATAGAACTATTACAATGAAGAATAAAACGAAATCCCAAACAGATACTGTCTGTACATATTTTTCTTAAAAAAAAAAAAATGAAAATGAAAAAGCTACTCTGAATCGAACTGGAACGATATGATAATCGAAGAAAACATATAATAAATAAACAAACGACACTTAAAAAGTGAATGAAATAGTAAACTGAAGAGTCCATAGTAGAATGACAGATGTAAAAAATAACAAGATTACCATACAGCATGACATCAACTTCATTACTAGGCAGCATAGTTTCTTCATAACCTAATTTCAGAATATTGCCATAATCTCAATGAAAAATTATAATTATACAAGATTCATCACATTCAAAATGCTGAAGACAGGTTTTCCTATCTCTCAAAAATGGCTTATCCGCATATATAAAATCAAAAATTAACGTGGGTAAAATTGGACACTTTAACAAGGTTTCATTCATAGTGTCACGTTCAAATTTATTTTGAAATTCAAAAAGCCCCAAATTTAATCTAGAATGATTAGTTTAATTGTTTTATATTATATTTACAAAGTTTAGACATTAATCAGAGCTATCATGATTGCGGTTCAGTTGCTGATCGATTTTTCTAACTAGTAAGAAAAAACCCAACATAAATAGCAACTAATGACCAACAAAATACACAAAAATGTCATAAAAATTACTCATGCTATTTTCTTCTTATCACAAAATCCTTAAAAATCATGCTTTCAGATAACCTTGATAAAATGTATAGGTCTTGGAACTCAAAGTTAAACGGAGACAGCAGCCTCGATTAAGGACACTCTAATATTAAAAAAACTGGGAGAATATTTGATAGGAATTATCCAGGACAAAAAATGAATCAACAAACTGGAAGCATATCTCCGCATACAGATACACAGGTGAGTGTTCTAATGAGCACTTGTAGAATTATTGAATGGACAAACATAAGTTGCTGGGAACATGCCCGATTTTCCGTTCAATGTACCTTCCCACCAATTTTCATCTTCCCGATTTGTCACTGAAACAGTTTCCTTTATTTCAATCAGACATATCTTGAATTTCAGAAATTATAAAAAAGAACACAATATTAAAATCTAGAATAATATTGAATTGTACTATTTACCAGTAATAATATCTCCTCGCTTGAAACCCAGTTCACCCTCTTCTTGTGGCTTAAAATCAAACATGGCCTGTACCAAATGAGTACCTTGAGCTGCCACGCTATCCATATTCTGAAGCAAAATTGTATGCGAACGAGAAACAGATGCCGATCTGAAATACATGTCCACGGTTTGTTTTCTTCGCAATCTAGTGATTGATAGCTGTCCTTTCCAAGGAATGGTAATTTAGCTCATTAGAAGAACCCATTTAGATAGTTATAGAATATTAAAAAATATTTTTAAAGAAAAAATGCAGAATAAACATGAAATAGTAATAATGTGATACAATGCACGAAATCATTAAATAGATACAGTAACCTGCTTTATTAATGGGCTAATGATTTACGCTAAAAAACTGTATGTTCACCGGTGATAATTTATTAATTCATTGATCGAATTGAATTTTACTACCCAAAGATAATATTTTCCATTATTGTCGCGTAACACTTTAAAGTGCTGCACCGAATCTTGAAACCTGTAAAAGGTAAAATTAAACTTTTCACGTAACAACCTCATTAGTTTAACAAATTCAGTGTGTGAAATTATATCGAAGTATTTCTCAATCTAAGTACAAAACTGGCAGAAAAAAAAAAAAAACGTATTCGTTTTACGTATGAATATTACCTTATTAGTAATGGATATACTATGATAGCATGGACGCGCATCTGGTGAGCACAAAGAAAAGTCCTAGAGTTCGTGGACATTGACTTTTTCCCCTCTCCATATATTCTAATATTAGTATGCAGGAACTTGAAAAGAAAACGCGTGAAAGCAAGCTAAGGTTTGGTAATCAATCTTAATAAGTCCGTTCATAAATGCTTTAGCAACAACTCAGTGTCATCAGAATACATCATACTGTTAACGTTGATGATTTCAACTAGACATGCTTTAATTTTCACTGCATTTTCAAACAATCAGTTCAACCAAAAACTAACACCTGAAACAAGGCCTATTACCTCTGTTTAACACGTTTAAATATTTTGACCATTGACGAGACAGGAAAAGCATAAAGAAAGAGAAATGCCAACAACCTCACAGAAATGCTAAAATCACCAGGAGAGCTCTCGGACTGCCGTACAAGAAATGCACCATCACCATTTCCAGGTCGCAGCAACAGTGCTTCTGCATCTGCACGACTAATTTTCCCAAGGTACCCAAAAAAGAAACATCTATGATAATATATATTCCAAAATAAATCTGCGACCACGAGATGTCAAAAACCTTGCTAGGTATAATGTTATGACCACCTACTTCTACATGTGATAAGAAAAACTGTTAGAAGTACCAAACTAACAATTTCAAAACTAAGAATCTCAAGCTGTTATGATCAGATTCATTAAACCTATCTTTCTGGATGATAATGGCAACAAATTGAGAACTATAAGTGATGGAAAAACAAAAAACAAACCAATCATGTTCATTCATTCTGATATAGTTACTGGGAATAAAACCTTCATGCCCATCTAACTCAGCTTTGTACCAGTGAGGATCTTCATCCTTATTTAAAACCTGAAAAGTTCATAAGCGATTTAAAGACATTAAAAAACAAGAGAAATCGAATGAAATGAAGCACAAATTTCAAATCCTGAACAAACTTGTGAGTGTTAAATCTGTTTAATCTTCTTCAGTGTGAAAGAGCTACTATATGTGAGTGAGATCATGCAGTTACTAGTGACTATTCACTTCCTAACTAGGATTACCCATGACTACCTGAAAAATCAATAGAGAATATTAGGAACACTAACTCAAAAAAATCAATCAAAAAAACTCATAAAGAAAATTGCAAGACAGAAATTGCTTTTAATTTATTTGTTTGATGTATATCGTAGAAAAAGAGTAGTGGTCAAACAAGCGCTTGCTTGTCTGATAGTTTTAGCAATACATGCTAGTTCACAAGAGCCGAGTTATTCAAACCTGATACCGATTATGGAATTACTTTTTTTTTTTAGTCATTAAAGATAAAATCACTCAATATCACTGTAGGTGCTCCTACAGTGAGTTTTTTTTTTTTTTAGTCATTAAAGATAAAATCACGAGCATGAGTTTTTTTTGAAAACTGTGGAAATTCTATCAGCTACTCGCCTGAACATAGCTAACCTTCAAAATCTGATTTTTTCGGAAACTGAGCTCATCCTCAGCTGTGGCGTTGAAATCGTGCTCCGCTACCGCCTCCATCACACCGTACCTGAAAAAGTTATTCAGTTAATAGTTAAAAATTTTCATCTGATAAAAAATTTTCTGAACTTTAGCCGACTTCCTGCAAAATTTAAAGTATACGACATAAAACGTACTCCTTCAATTCTGACCTTTGCTTGAAGTGAATTCCTTCGTGAATATTTAAAAAGGAGAAAGGAGCTTGCAAGTAAAAGTATACCGAACACCTGAAGCTACCAATTCTTTTCTGAAAAAAAAAGCTGGATCAGATCAAACATGAAATAAGTATGGTTTACCGCAAAAATCAAGACTCCACATTTATTGGGCCACTCTAAAATAACAGGACGAAGTTCTTAGAAGAATATATTCTAACGGTGGCTTTAAAGTCGAATTTTCTGGAAAACCTGAACAGCTTATAACATCCAAAAATTTTGCTAATATCCATTAAGTATGATTTAAAATATGAAAAACAGAAACAAATCGTATCAATGTAGACGGAGAGAAAATATATATGTTAACAACAGCACCTAGTGAGAAGGTGGTTGACGACCTTTAAGTACTTATGGCGGAAACAAAATGAAAGATTCTGTCCAGAGCAATCTTCCATTCATTTGATGCCATTTAACCTTTTGCATTTCACAATCAAATAAAAAGATGAAGACGTATACATCTAGCAAACAACAGCTCTCATCCGAAACAAAGAAGTAGAGTTTCGGATTTCAACAAGCGATAAAAAACCAACTGTGCCTTCTACTTGCATATCTCATCAAGCTCATTCTTCCATACCAAATTGCTCTCCCTGAAACAACCTCAACATAACATTAAAGTACACAATGAAACCAGGCAACAATTTTCGAAGCAAACCACACTCCAATGCTACAGCCTTAACCTGCAAACACCAATACTGCTCACTGTTTTATCTGGAAATCGTTGGCTCCAGTACAAATGAGTGGCTGATTGCAGTGTCTTTTTCAAAGGGACGTAGTGCTCTGAAACGAAGAAACCCGCTTTGTCCTTTTTATTCTTCCAAGATATCGCAGAGCCTTTCGGGATTCTCGAACAGGAAGACTACTGATTGTTGTACGCAAACTATATTCATATTTCTGTACAAATACTTATAAGCCGCAATGCAAATTGTATGAACAGGCGATGATGATTTGGCATTGAACAAGAAAAAAAAGAGAAAACTTGTGTTGACAACTGAATTCAGTTCCCTCAGAAGATTAGAAACAGATGAATTCTGACTTCAAAGTGTCACATATTGACCCATTGATAACTTTTATTTTCTCCATTTACCCTACCACATGCATATATATATATATATATATATATATATATTGGAAAAGAAATTCAGTTTGTGAAAATGGAACAGTAAATTACAATCACTTTATGTCAACACTAAAATTTCAGAATGTTTGTTTGCTTGAAATGCTAATATTTCGGACAAATACCTATCAAGTGCTGATATTCTTAAATTGGGTGTTTTAAATTATAAATGAAGGCTCTTCAATGGAAGTATAGGAGAACTCAAGAAAACGGAAAAACGGTGCGAACTGGAGAAATTGTCATTTTGAGTACATCATGTATGGTTAACTGCAGGAGAATGATCTTCGTTTTAGAAGCAATTCTGCTTGACTTGTTCATTATGGCGCTAGTGGATACAGTCATGACTTTCATCAGGCATTATAGCTTCCAGATTCCATGTACCAATATCGAGGGCCTTCTGCGGTACTTTACCATTTGTAATGTAGTGGTTCGGCAATTCAAACTTCCAGCGTCGTTGGCATGGCTTAAAAAAAAATTTTTAAAAAGTAATAACTTGCGTGGTACAATTTTAATTACGATAGCAGAATCACTTTGCGCAAATTCTTTTTTTTTATATGATTACCTTTAATATGTTCGGGGACTTAACCGTTTGTCATCTCTTTATCTATATATTCAAGAAACGATTTATATAGATTTATATAACGGAAATCGGTATTGTTTAAAAATAATGAAAACTAAATGTTGAAATCAATAAGCAAGTTACATTCCTTTGAAAGCGATAAGTCTAATGGCTGATTGCAGCGTCTAATGCGAAAGTAAAACAAATACACGTACAGTAAAGCCATCGTTGCAATCATGGTAGATTTTTAGATGGGGGTCAATAGTGGTCATTTCATAGGTATCGCCAGACAATTTGAAGTAACCGTTTTGGTCGGTATAACCTGCATCCAAATCGTCGTCTGGATCCGATCCTGAAATCATCATTTAATTATCCGAAATGAACCGACATTATAATATTACTCAGATTACTAGGAACTGACAAAACAGTAAAATCAAGAGTGAATCTAGCGTGTTATCATCTAATAAGAATTCTACCTCACATGAAAAAGTAAATGTTGGAAATCTTCCATCATCTATAGGCTTTGACAAATATGTAAAGCTAATCATAGCGTCGTCTCTAAACGAGTAACTTACCGAAGTCATCATCGACCAATTTAACTCGTATGCCTGAGGCCGGCTGGGTACCACAAAACAACCTCCCACTTACCTGCAATTAAAACATGAGATTCAGTGGTGTTCTCCGAAAACAGTATTAAATGTGGAAGTAATCGTTAGTATTTTGCTGTTATGTGGAATTCTAAAAATGATACGCTGTAGCTTTGAATGCCGGTATGTTGTTGTGGAATAATTGCACTATGCGACACGCACACCAACAGTGCGATAATTGCGCCCAATACACCGCGATACATTGTCATTCAGTACACCTTTAACGGAAAGTGAAAATATCATACAGTTGTAAATTTTTGGTGTTTACGTCCTAGCACTTCGATTGTAGACAGGATACAGTACCGATCTATATACATGCTGGTCTAGTGGTTATGCAAAATTGAAATTTGAAGACGACACAGTTCAATATAACTGTACTCGCTGTTGTCAGCAGTATAGTACTACTGTATGCACCGTCAACTTTTTGATTTCGAAACATTCCGAATAAAATCAAAGTTTTAGCTGAAAGAAACATAGCAATTCATTCACTTGACAGTTAATGATTTTCGACCAATCATTATGTTTAGTAAGCAAAAACTGGACTTTCCCTAAAAAATTAAAATTTACTGGTGTTTGATCTTACATAAGAAATTCATTTCCAAATTGATAGATATGATTTTCCAATCTGAGATCATCCAAAGTGTTTTGGAAATTATCCACTCAGAAAACAATGTTCGAACAAAAATTTATTCATTTGTACGCAAAAACTTATTATTAAAGATATGGAATTGGTAAAGTTCCATAACATCGTCTTATCAAACATATTTTACAAAGAAAGAAGTTTTGTAAGTCGTAAAGTCATTGATCTAATTTTTGTACATTCTTGAATGACTTCCAAATAAATTTAGCATTCATTTGAATGACATTGTCTCGGGAGCAGCACTTACAAAATTACAAAGCGAGAAATTCTGTGAAAAATAACAAAATGGAAGTGTGAATTGAGAATTACTGGATGTAGAAAACTGAAATGCATGAAAAGACAAGAATAATCTGTTGGTCAGATAACCGGTATCCATTAATTTGATTAAAATATATTCAACAAAGAGGGTAATAAATGCAGTTCATTTTATCACTTCAATAAAAAACAAAATCGTAATGAAGTGAAGTCAAGTAAGCACAGACTCTTGAATGTTGCTTTCTCATTCAGCCACAATGAATCGTTAATCTACATGCGCTCTTTTCGATGGCCTAATTAAGCCTTTCCTGACAGAGACAATTAATTAAACCAAAATTCCCATTCACTAATAGATCGAAAAGTGTCTATTGTTTACTACGGATGTTGCTGCTCACATTAGTCATTTGTTTGTAATGGTTATTAATTTCCTTTCAATATTGGATGTACTGCTTTTTAATCTTTTGAATATTGAATTTCAAGGAGCACATGGACATCAATGATGTATACATTCTTGATCTTCATCTTCAAGTTCCACTTCAAGATTCATTTCTCCGAGCTCCATTGTCTTCCGAGCTACTGCTCCGTTAGATACATAACGATCCGGAATACGGATAACCCATTCCCTTTGACATGGCTGAAAGTGACGTATCTGTGCTGTATATTTGTTAAACTTTGATTATTCCGCAATTTACACTGATCTGCTTGCTCTGTTTATATCGTGGAATATCTAGGAAGAACTCATAAGGCAAAGTTTAAACTCATTAATTGCCCGCAAGCAGCAATTTAATATGACCTCTCTTAAACCATAGTACTTAGACCTAGTTTTCTTGGCTTACACACATGCATAAGTACATACTACACATTTTGCACCTTCAAATTCCAAATAATACAACTCGGTGATATGATTATTGTCCGTCCCTTTCAAAAGAATGCATCCAGGCCATCACAGCATGACACTTGTTACTTGGATCTCAGTATCGAAAGAAGCCCTCATAGCACACAACAATCAAATCACTGTTTGGCTTTTCAGCTTTGCTCTTCAACCGTTGACAGCATTGGCCTAAAGCAAAGCAAGGGCCTAGCTCTTGAAATATTTCCCCTTCATAACTTCACAACGAAGTCAAGAGAGGGTGTCATTATTTTCACTCTTATAAGTAGGTTTTAACACAGGAATGGTTTAACCTCCCATTATTGGTCTTAAAAGTATTGGTGTTGTCTTCAAGTTTAAACCTAAAGCAAGAAAACCGAAACTGCATGTTGATTTTGTGGTGTTATGCTTCACTGTACATGCAACTGACCGTTCCATATGTAAGAAAGTGGGATTTGTTCACAAAGGAGGGCTTTGTTCTCACCTGTGCCCTTTCTCATAAGTGCCGCAGAAGTTGTGTAACGTAAATCTCAGGGAAAACCAGTGCTCCACATTCATGAATCCATAACTTTGCAGCCAGAATTTCGGATGATTTCATTTGTTCACAATGTCATAAACACCAAAACCAATTCTTTAGATCTATCCAAACTGCGAAATTTTCGGCAGTATTGCCTTTGATCCTATTTAATTACATGGTAAATTGTAAATGCATTTATAATTTAATTCAACTTCACTGTCTGACTCATGCTATGTATTGCAATTCCAACCGCAGAGTCTTTTTGGCACAGAATGGATTGAAAAATTAAGTCGTTTCTCAACCTGTTATTTAGAAACATTCATGATCAGGTAAATCACTTAACGAAGAAGTTGTCATCGTAACGCTAATGTTCAACATATTCTCTCACACTTTATAGTATTTTTTCAATTAGAATTCGTCACAAGATTTTGATGCTCCCAACATCTTGATCAGTTCGTTCCTTTCAAAATAGCAAAAGACCGTCGTTAAGCAGTTAAATTGCAATCTGTTGATGGTTCTTTGATTTGAAATGCATTGTTTCAGACTCCTATCTTCATCATCTTCACTAGGGTATTCATCGAAATAGCTAACGCAGATATCGAGAATTCTGTTCGAGCTATCATCAAACCTACTCCCAAACCCAGTTCCAAATAATGCATTCATATTCACTATTGAAGTTAGACCTTTCGTTACCCCATACATCATCTTTCTTCATCTTTTTCCTAAATAGTCAAAAGTCTTTAACTGTATATCAACAACCTTTCATTTCCTCATAGACACTTTCACTGAAATCTCAGGACTTCTCTTCTGCTCATTCTTGATATCAAACATATCACACCAAAGTCTTTTCATCCAGCGCGTCATCCGAGATCAGTGATGACTGCATTCCAGTGTATTATTCTCTTCTTTGGTCACTTTTTTACCCCGTCGAAGGTTGTTTTATCCGTCAAATTTCTGTGATTAGAAGTTGCATAGCAGTTCAAAGCAGTCATAAGTTGTTCAAGGAATCAACTCATTTATATCAAGAAGTGTTCTAACTTCAAGGCATTCAAATTATTAAATTGAATTCTTTGAAATATCTGTATTTTGTCTACAGTGAGAAAAAAGTCTTGAAAATACATGTTAATTGAATTATTCCTTGTTTTAATACTTAGGTCATCTTGAGTATGGGCATGGGACCTTTTCTTTTCCTGTAGGAGTTATAGAAGAGTAACCATCAATGGCACCAGTTAATACTTCCTCACAATCCATCCAGCAGTACATCTACTACTCCAATAATATTCCGGTCCATTTCATTTCCCTCTATGTTCAGTAGCTCTATACTCCTCACATCATGTTTTACTCAATCCATAAATGGTCTTCTACATAAGATTCAGACCTCTTCGATATGTACAATCTTGCAGTTTTCCTTATTTTTCGTTCGACTGCCAAACGATCGCTCCTCCAATCTCTCCGTAAACATATATATGTACATACAATACTCACCTAATCCATTCCAAGTAACTCACTTATGGACTTTCAGTACTTGTCATTAATAAATTGATGCATGCAATTTCAATCAAACAACTTCAAATGTCCTGACTTCATGATCCATTTACTTCTGTGCACCCACATCTACATCTCTTTATAGAGTCGGTAAGTTCTTTATATGCATCATTTTTCCAAATTTATTTTAAAAGAAAGTGAATAACACATGCCCTTCCGTAATCGTTGCAGTCGTGATAAATACGCACTTCGGGGTCGATCGTCGATAATTCATATGAATTGCCCTGTAAATCAAATTTGCCACCACTATCTGTATAACAGGAATCCATTAAATCATCCGGATTTGGACCTGCAAAAATAAAGCCTAAGGTGATCTGATTGTTCTACAATAATCTGCTGTAGCGATATCTATAATTCTAACAATGAAACCGAAAGAAAAAATAATTTGAAAGAAGTCTACACTGAAATCACTAGAACTGGTGAAAAAACAAATTCTGGGATAATAGTGGAGTGTGATTATTTTGAAGAACAAAAGTTCATTACCATTATCTTTATCGACTAATTTCACTAGGATGCTGGAAGCTGGCTGGGAACCACATAGCAGTCGTCCCCTGACGCGTACGCTTTGTTCGAGAAATGCATTAGCTGTATGCACTACAACAATGACAATGTAGGCGCTCAGGGAAAATATTAGCCACATTTTTCCTGCAAAATTTTGAGTAATTTTTCGAACTTTCCAATCTTTGATTCTAATAGGCTCTCATATATTTATGTACAATGTAAAAAGGTGCTTAAATAAACGCAATTTCCATCAATGATAAAAGTGTCCAATCATTTCGGCGACACTTTTGTCCTAAAGTCTTTGCAGCAGCAGCAGTAGCAACAGCAGTTATCCATTATTTTTAAATTTTCAGGCTTTTCGGAGACTAAGCTGAAGACTAAGAATTTGGCTCAGCCCGATTATTTCTTAAAAAAATTCCATTCTATCAGTGGAAAAGTAGTGCTGAGCAACAGCTGTCATTAACAAACATTTGGTGCAGAATGATTCGTTTCTACGGTGAGAACAACAAACGTCAACTGAAAAGGTTAGGTTGTAGTACAAGCAGAAATTCCTAGTTGGTCCAATCGCAGAATTCTTCAATGATGTGTAGGAATATTCATTTCATGAAAACCGAACATTTTTATTTTGCCTTCAAATGTGATGTGAATTTTGTAAAAAAAATCTACTAGATTTGCAGAATTTTAGATATTTCATCAAGCTTTCGGAAAATCACGCAGTTGGCGGGAAAAGCAGAAATAGAGAAGGGAACAATAATAGGTAGTAAATGCTAGAAAGAGGTAAATATGATCATTACCGAAGAAATTTATAAAGCTTAACCCGTGGTATTTAACACCTAATCACATTGTAAAACTAAAACTTTCAATTTTAGTAGGATAATCCGAGGGTAAAGTTTATCTATTCATGCATCAACGAAACGAGTGCATTGGATTACATCGATCTGGATACGGAAGAGCGAATGAAAAGTGTTGCTGATTGCTGATAACGATTTCGTAATGATCAGAAGCTACTGACACGGGACAGCTGTCAATGTTACGCAGTCTGTCTGCTGCTGTGCAGCATGTTTGTGCTCCTCAAAAAATATCCTGAGTCTCTCTGTTCGCTGGAGTGTGCATCATAAGATGGTGAAATTTCTGGAATTCAGAGGCTGCAAACAATCGATAACAATATCAGTTACTTCTGGTTTATTTTAATAATTAAGTAAGTGGTCAGTGGCAGAATGGAGAGTTTAATTAACTGTGCATCACTAGATTATGCTCGGATTGTGTAACTGCTGATCGATTAAGGTAATATCAAACCGAGTAAATTCCTTGATGAACATTTTCAAATGCTGAAAATGATTAGTTAATCATCTCATTTTGTACATCCGTTGCAGCTGTGACACTGGTTTCTAGAAATTCTGTGCTACAAAAGACAAACGTTTTATTAACGTATACACTGATGATATACATATTTGAATGCTTACAGAATTTGAATGCTTTAAATATGACATTTGGTGGCATTACTGTAAATAAACGAATTTAGCAATTTAAATTTTACAATTAATCTAATTTTGACAAAGGAGCAGTTATTCTCTTTTTAATGGATGAAGCACATTTCACAAATTACAGGTATGCTATTAAGGAATATTATACGAGTGAATTACAACAAGCAGTCTCGCTTCTCGCCATAGAACACTACTTCAGCATTTAAGATACCAATATCCATGATATGCTCTGCATCTCCTTCATTACTTATATATTTTACTGGAATTCCCAGTCTCCATTCACGATCGCATGGCTAAAGAAAAAACAACGTTTGCACAATCGTACAAATAGATAGGGAACGATAATAATTTACAGTGTTGAAAATTTATGCAGTTAGTTGTTTCGAATAAAAACTTAGAAAAGTGGTCTTCAGCTGCTCAAGAAACTTTTATAAAAAGATGCCTGGAAGATTTTTGTATTTAACTGAACAACTGCTATTCCAGTTTTTTTCAAGAAATCCGTTTCTTTTTGAAGTTGAAGAGATGGAAGAGATTAAAATTTTACGATTCCGCCGTCGTTGCATTTATGGCGAACCACAAGTATAGGATCGATTGTACTCCATTCAGTCTCGTTACCATGCACAAAAAAGTGTCCTCGTTGATCAGTTACATTCATCGCCATTATATCATCAGGATCCAGTTCTAAATAAATGCTTTCCTAAAAATTAAGCAGTGAAGTAAAAATCAACAACACGTCATAACAAGTAATGCAAGCTGCTCTTACGACATTCGTAAAAAAAAGTTTTTGTTTGAAAATATAGTATCGTCGTTAATTTATTTTGGTAGATCGTATGAAAGCTTTTTGAAACTTCAAAAATTTCCAAAACTTCTGAAATTTTAAAGGGACTTCGAGGTTGATTTGTGGTTTTTCTCATTTTAAAAATGAATTTTTGTAATATTTTTCCTCCCTGATAAATTAATGAAACAATCATAAAAAGTAGCTTATGAAAACTATGCTTATGTAAATTTCGAAATGATTTTGTTGTAAACAACGATTACTGAACTATCGTGATCGATGAGAATTATATGATGATTCGGTAACGGTCTGCCTTCACATAGCAGTATTCCTTGTACTGCAACCCTCTGTACTCGTGATAGTGGAAACAAGGCATTAGCAATAGTAGGCAATAGTGTAAACAATATCCATTCCATGCTGCATCCTTAAATTCATGGCAGCATGAGAAAAAAACAAATATTTAAATCTACGATAAGAAGTATAACTAATAAGACACCTTCTCTCTTAATTTTCCTACCAATTTTCAAAATCTTTCAAGAAAGACTATTACCTTTTTGATGTACAAAGTTAATTCATCAAGTTAATCTTTAATAGAACTTGGTGAAGTAACAGTACCGAACATTATTTTTATCTAACCCAGAACTCTTTTCCATCTCCAGACGCAGATGATACAATTTCAGTCTATGAAGAAAGAGGAAAAAAAAAAAAAACTTTGATAAACTGAAATTAAAGTTTGGACTTGGGAAAAATTCAGAAAAAATCGACGAAACATTTATAATGCTATTAGGATTATTTACTAATAACCGCTTCTGTTATTTGCATTTTCTTAATCTCATTTCATTGATGATAGTTGTTAAGTTCTTCATTTTCAATGATTAGTTTCTTTCGACAAAAATATTCATCTTTGTAATTTCACTTACCAATCCTATCCAATTTCATTATAGAAAGAGTAAAAGTTGATAGAATAGTTAGTATTGGAAATTTGCGAGGCGTACATCAGCTATAAAATCAAATTGATGGGCTTATCAAACTTAGATGTTCTGACTAAGTATTAAAGAACATACAAACCACATTTGGATTTCTTTATTTGTTTTAAGGCTCGTTGAGCACTTTCTCTAATAAACAGTTGAGTTCTCCAATCTTGCATCAACTTTTGAGTTGTAATCAAAACCTACTGAGCATCCTGAACGGATCATCAATTGGGGCTGAAACTATTATTTTTGTTTTTTAATAAAATCTTGTCCATACGTTGAATGTTCATGCTAGCATGCATTGCATTAAAAGTACAACGAAAACAAGAAAACGTACATTATAAATGAACTCTTTTGAAGAATGAGTATGTCGGGAAAAACAAAAAAGAAAGAAACTAATGAGCGAAAATGAAGGACTTGAGAAAACACAGGACGAGAAAATAGAGCAGTAAAAATGGCGCAAAGTAGTTGAAGAGAATTAATAGTGCATCAAGAAATGATATATCAAAGAAAATGAACATAAGTTTATTTGATAATCTAGTATTTTAATTATCTAACAAGCAACAAGGCAGGATATTTCCAGAGTTATATACAAAAAATAAGCAGCAGATGATGAGAATTAAGTGCTGATTCATGAATTAAAGTTTGAAAAGATTAATGTTAGAGAGTTTAGTTGGAGTGAGGGATACGCTGAACATCGATTGCAATCAGTTAAAGAAAGCTAATAAGAACAAAGATCCAGCAATCTTAGTCAGAAATAATAAATGAACAGATGCACAAATAAATAAACGGAAAAACGGCAATCTGAGTAAAGAAAATATTTTCTTGAAACTGATTTATGAGGGTTTTAAGGGAAAAATTTCAAAACTTTCATATACTAAGGATATCATTGCAGATGAAACTTAAACTGTCCGACTATTTTCATTTCGCACCTTTTACCGAAACAAATGTTAACAATAAACATTGAAATACAACAATTCTTCAAGACAAAAATCATCAACAGTCAAAATATTTATTACCTCTGATTTATACATGCATTTGCATAATTTTGTAAATATTTCTATTGATACCTTTATAGGCCTTTACCACATTATCCTATGTCCTGTAAAACTAAGTCATCATGCTTTTCGGTCTTTCTATCATAGTATGTCTTCCCGTCAAATAACAAATCATTAATTCTTTAGGAAGGGAGCAGGAAACACTGGCTGCAAGTCTTTTCAGAGCTATCGTTTTCGTTACGGGATGTTTCTTTCTTTTATCTGGAAAAGAGTTCCATATGTTATCAAATATTGCAAATGCTGTGACTAATGAGGATGTTTTTTTTTCACATGAATTTTCAACTACACTACTTGTCATAATTCCTGCGTAGTTATAGAACCGAATAACACCTACCGTCTTTCATCTGTGAACCATATACTTTGCAATCATCCTTTTCCTATAAATCCTCTAATACTGATATAAAAACTATAATAAATGCTAATACTGATATAAAACTAACATAAAGAAGCCTTTTTTTTAGCCAGTACTTACGACTGGCCAATTCTTCTCACCTTACTATTTTAAGCCCGTTACTATCGCCCTATGTTAACAGTGACCTGATGATCACCATTCAACCTGAATCACCACATCAAGTTCACCCATTGCCAAAATCAGGAGTGTTCATCACCTGTTCTCTTACGAGCTTTTTATTCTTCACTAGACATGGGCAGTTTATGATTTTAATTTCTACCACATCTAACACCATGCCACTTTCAAATGCCGAAGTTTGACCCAGCAGTAAAGAAAAGAAATTTTAAAAAGACAAAGCCCTAGCTATGAAATTATAATAATCGATCTGAATTGATAATTTTATGCACAAAATCCAAAAATAATCAGATACACTGACCAATAAAATATCAAGAAAAATAATTTCAAGCATAAAAATTGGAAAAGCTCACACTACTTCCCAAAAATCTAAACCCACTTCTAATATTCTGTTCTAATTAATGATAGTACAGACTGATTAGATAATGAAGACATGTTCTGAATGAATATATCAGGGCATAAGTACGACTGACAAAACTCCCGCGAAAGTGTTGTTCGTAATCCTGTCTAAATATTAATATACACATAAAGAACTTGCTGAAGTGAGAGGCAAAAAACAAGCTTGTGTTGCCCGTTAAATTTGTGCAGTGTGAGTTGCCAGTGCACATCAATAACAAGTTACATAGATTTTAAAGGAATCAGTAAGTCTGTATAGTATTTATTGCTAATTATGTAAACTTAAAAAATATTTCGAATTTTAAAATGGCACACAATTTTTAAAAATATTATTGAAACATAAAAAACTTTTTTACTAAATACGAAGTTTTATAAAAATATTTCAAACGGCATCTTTTCGTACCGCTTAGGCCTTTATCTTGATCCGTATTATTTGAAATAAATTAACAACTTAAAATTGAACATATACGGACCAAACTTCATCAAATATAAGAAAAGAATAGCAAGATATCAAGTTTTATCCATTGATATTTGCTACTGATAGAACTGATAGGTCATCAAAGTGGTAAAAAAAAAAAAAAAACAAATTGCTCTGCGTTAGCCACTATGTAGGCTATAATGATGTGTATAAGAAACACATGATTTTACAGTAAAAATTAAGGCACCAACAAACAATTCAATTTCCATGTGTTTTCACTTCTTTTTAATTGGTGCACCTTTTTTAGCCAGTGGTTGACCCATTTCTTTACCACGCAACTTTACACCGAGCGCTCGTTCCATTTTAGCTAGAATCTGTAAAGGACAGAAATCAGTTTCTTTATAATGCAAGTGTATAAAAAATAAATTCAAAAATACAAGTACAAAAAAATGGAAAAACCATGACACTAATGAAGATAACCTGCTGATTAGGGACAGCTTTACCATTTTCATACTCCGCCACTACTTGTGGCTTCTCGTTGATGTGCTGAAATTAACAAAGCTAATAAATTAAAAATTACAAATTTAAAATCTTAAGCGTATAAAATTTATAAATGTTCCCCCAAACCTGATTTAGAACGAAACAATAAATACTTACGGTAGCCAAATCTTTCTGTGTCCACTCCTTGCTTTGTCGTGCCTGCTGCACCACTTTGCCAAATGTCAGCGAAACACGTTCGTGATGTAACTCCTCAGTTTCTTCATCCAATCTTCATTGAACACAAAGTTAGCTCTAATGAAGCAACTTTTGACTGTAGGACACAAATATTTCTAGATTACAAATATTTCTAGAACCAAAGGCAATAAGTGCAGTAAATTAGCCATCACTAACAAGTTATTTAAGTCATATGTCAAGTATTCTGCAAGATGATTCCCCCATAATTTTTGTGCAATATTTTAAGTTCGCTAAATGACCACCAACGAGAAACTCTACCACCTTGAAGTATTTTTAGTCGCATAATGTTGTTTATTACCACCAGCCATTATTTTCTTCGATGTTTCAATTGCCATTCCACGCCGTTGTGCTGCATTCAATTCCTGTAAATTCAGAACTTGTTCCTAGAGAATATAAGTTAATGAAATCACATTTAATATATATGATATCTAAGATATGTAGACAGACCAAAATCGGTTGTTGTGACGAGACTAACAATATGAAAAATAATACAGCAAGGAAGCCCACTGCAAAACTACTTATCATATGCAACTTGTTCTTACACAAAAACAGAATTACCGCTACTGTTCGCAACGTTCTTTGCGCTGGACCACGTCGATGTAGAATTATTACTGTGTCCGGATCAGTATCCGAATTTATTGTTCCCATTTTTGACATTCTCGAAATATCAGGACAATGATATTAAGCCTTAAAAAGCATAAAAAAATGACAAGATTAACCACCAGGTCGGTTACACTGCTAACACAACAATTTGGAAAGCCTTGCATCTATGAATGTATAATTCAGCATACATTTATTTATATATACCATGCAATACCTTTAAAGTACAACGCACTAAACCACAGCTGCAGAATGCAGAGTATGGAAGGTAGAGACAACGACAAGCACAGGTAACCCTAACAACGGTAACCTACATATCACATCGTCGAACTATACAAACTCCATGCTCTCGCACAATTGCGGCCCGTAATTTACAGACAGGACTCGCAGCTTGATTTCACAATAGCCATAACCATCTTTTCTAGGAGAAATTGGGTGTTGACATGACCTTCGTCGAGAAGTGTCCAGAAGTTGTGAAGAATGAGCCAGACGTTGCGAAGATTCTTACTAAGAATGAGTCTCAGAATGTTTGTTAGCCTTTTGTCATGAATTCTGCTACGTTCGCTGCCTTCATTGCATAAATGGTTTAACAGATGTTTCTGACCATTAGTAATCATGGAAACTGATGATTGTATAGAATCTTGTGGTAACATAAGCTAAATCAGCAGGATATTTACCACTCTCAACGGAAAATAAGCAAACAAGGATAAGAGTAATTTCCAAATCAACTTCCCTATGATTCAAAAACAAACACCAATCAACTGTTGGTATAGTTGTCTGCAATAAAGCTGTCATCAATCCAAGACAGAAATACTATAATTTGAATGCAAAAACAACAAAAAATGTGATACAATCCATCAAATAAAAAAAAGGACCTGATACACTTTAGGAAATGCTATGAAATATAACAGAAAAAATACACAGCTTATAATCTGCAAGTGTGGAAAACATAGAAACATGTAAAATGGGAAATGCGCACAATATGAGAACTGTACAGTTGAGTACATATTTATAGACATATAAATAATTTTTAGAAAATCGTAATTTTTAATTTTTTAGAAAATCGACAAATTGACAACATAGAGAAAAGTACTATAATGCTTCATCTTGCATTTAAATCACATAAATGGCTATAATTAAACAATCTAAAAAGAAATTTAAATTTGAAGACGGAACATCAATTGCGAGATTTTGAGTGAATATACTTTCAGCTTATCTCACAATTGAAAGAATGTTGGAATGGGAGTTGAAAGCTCCAACTTGAAATCAAAAATTTGAAAACATGTTGAATTAAGGCAATACATGGACTTGTTTGGCCTTCAGTTGTTATTTCAGAGATGGAAAGAAGGAGGCCAAATGAGGACAATATAGCAGTTTATTAGAGAATAAAGAGAGAAGAGGCTTAATCACTTTTGCAAAAAAGTGCACAGTGATGACAAATAACTATCAAAACCAATATATCAAACTTTCAAAGCAGATTAACTCACTACCAGTTACCACTTATACAAAGCCTCACTTTACAGTCTGCTAAACAGAACAGCATTTACACCATTTGTGTATCTTTTCTTTGCTAATGTATCCTTGATAAATCTTCGACAAGCTTTAACACATCTTCTGCCAATGCATCCACTAGTTCTGTAGTTTCAGACGAAGATATACCTGAAAGTAATGTGATTATTCATGTGGCTGCAATAAAACAATTTATTAATTTGTGAATATTTGGAAATTTTAAATATTTTACTAGAGAGCTTGACACAAGGAAAAAAATATCACGTTTTGTGCTATTTAGTTCACACAAAAAGTTGGTACTACTGGGAAGAATGATACAACTCAAAAGACCAAATTAGATGAATACATTACTTTCTGATAATTAAACATGCGCTACGAAGCTTTGTCTCTATCTTTTTTTAGACTTGAATTTCGAATCTTTTTTTCTTAGTTAGCCTGTAGTAAGTGCATAAAGTGATCAGAAGTGGTCACGTAGTTGTGGTCAAGATAGTACATCGGCTATCACTGTATGCAAGGATATTAAATGCAGTTCATTAAGATAATTCAACCTACTTCACAACTACCTTCATTATAACAAATATAAGTCACAGTTATTAAAATTATCCATTTAATGTATTTCCCAGTAATTCTGATTATGTCGTATTCGTTCTTTCCTTCTTTTTCTCTGCATCTTTTTCAGTAAATCAAATCTCTTAAGAAATAATTCTGAGCTGGTATTATTTTCAAAAAAATTCAGTTTTCATAGTAAACTTTTATATAAATCTTCGTCACAAATTTACCGTCACGTAAAAACACTTACCTTCAACTGAAATACTTTTAAACCTGAGAGATTTGAGCAAAAGTAAAACAATTTCAATTAATCATGTTTTATTTGAGAATTCAATAAAAATCTTGCTTATAGTACCAGAGTTAATAATCATATAAGCATAACTTTCTTTTAAATACCAGCTAGAAGGATGCATTCTTGGAAAATTAAAATATCTGAATGATCCTTTTTATCACTTAGAAAAAAGTTATAGAATAAACAAACACGGACTGTATTTGCAAGCAGTCAAGGAAATACAAATCACAAAAATAATGTATTCTTACTATTCAACAGCGGCATTTTAAGTCCGTTAACGACCTGTTCCACAGAATCTTTGCCCATATCCAAAAGACTCTCGATTAGATCACCGTCGATGAAACCGTTTGGAGCTTCACTTCGTTTTTCTGTTTCAAATGTTCTATATTGTGTGTGCGAAATTCGCATACAATTTTCTGCGTATTCGGCCAAACGTTTCTGAACGTCTTGTAGGAATCTGAAACGCAAAAATCATTCTTAACTTCCAGTTGTAAAACCACAAAGAGAAAGTTCTTTCGATTAAAATTGAGGCCGTCATAAATTTTACTAGAGAGTAATCAAAACAAACGTATAAAGCACTGGCGGCATTTGAACAATAACTCCTATACCACCATCTGAAGTACCATACAAAATTGAAGAATGATATAATGGTGCCACATCAACTTGGGTAGCAGTTAAAGATCCATGGCAGAATACATTAACCATTTCGCCCAAATAAAATAATCCTAATTCCTGAAGAAATGTCTTCCAATATATTTTGCAAAACTCGTTAAAATGTAATATTTTTGAAAAGACAATGTGATTGTCATCAAACGCTATCCCTATTTGAATACAACATACTGCAAATTTTCGAGGGTGGAATGAAAACGTTAATTACTTGTAATCTTGTTCCCTCCTCTTTGAACACTGTGAATGAATCCTTCATTACCGTAAATAAATTATAGGAGTTTTCGGCACCCAAAAAGTTGTCGGAATCAATTATCTCACACGCGGACATCCAATTCGTCATAAAATCTCTTGAAACCATAATTATTAATAACACAAGAAAAAAAAAACTAATACTGCAATATCACAACCCAAAATCTTCAAAATTTAAGAAGTAAAATCACTTGTCAACGTAAAACAGACTAATACACATCAAGTTTTAAAAGTATGAATACCAGTTAGATAGACGAAAGAGACAGAACTCCTCGCTTTTTCTCACTAGCCTTGTCTAAACACATAAGACAAATAAGCGCTTTACCTAGCTACTTTTTCAAACGTTGATTCCATTGATTTATAGGAAAGAAGAGAAAGAGACCGCATCAAATCGCCAACCAAAATTAAGTCATTCTTCGTCTTTAAGTATAGTGCAGTAACGTTATCAAAATCTGAACATTCCAATCGCAATTCTTTGTCCGCAGTCCATTCAAATAACCGAACACAACTATTGACAGCAACCACTAGCTTCCCTGTAATTTCGTAGTTATCGAATATGATAAAATAACTTAAACACAGAAACTTTTTACAACATCTCCCTTCTTATGCTCTTTCAATTAATTAGGACGTCAGAAATGGTAAGAAATGTTCTTTCTTTCTTCATCTTCAGATTTTCGAATTTGAAGTTTCAAATGTTGAATAATAGAATCAAATGAAATGTTTTCAAGAGTTAATTTTACATACCATCCATAGACTGAATCGAATAAGCGGCTCCTTTAATCTCTTTTTCATATACTAAACGCATGCGTTCCGGTCCTTCTGACGCTTGAAACATCATGATACGGCCCTACAATCACAAGTTATCACTGATCTGAAGAACTAACTAAATCTGTACATATAAGTGAAAGTTAAGAGCAGGAAAATAATAACTCAGAACAGATGCAGTGGAAATAACCATTTTAGATTCCGTTTCATCAGACATGATAACTGCAGTACCCACAACGAAATAAGGTTGGCTATCATCTCCCAGTTGACAAGAAGCCAGCGACATTGCCATCTCGCTGCCTTCAAGTTCATGCGAATGTAATATTTCAAATGTATTGGAATCCAGCAATAAAACTGAACTGACCTGTAATCTTAATGAATCCAATAGCAAGTATGTGAACAGGAAAAATCAAACATTTCAATCCCAAAACATGCGTACTACGGCGAAAATTTCAAAATGAAATACCTGAGACCTAAATTCATGGTTTCTAACCAATTTCAATGATTGTTCTGTAGTTACTTCAACACATGCGTTATGAAAAATGTGCCCTAATTAAGTGGGCCTTAATTTGTCTGAAACGCTCACTTCCATTTCTTCAGCCAAACATTCTGGAGTAGGTTCTCGCCTCATAGAGCTCAGGCGACTACTTGATGTTTCCATCGCATTTTTTGATGCACACTGCCCAAAATGATGTTTCCCCATGGCATCCACAAACTGCAGGGAAGCGAAAATAAAACACATGGCTTGTAGTGGAGAATATTAAATAAACATTCCTTATTACATACTAAGCATTGATTCCCCATGATCAAGTAAAACTAGTTTCGTCGACCATTTCACTGGACAGTTGAAAAAGAAAATATACCACATAAAAGAACAAAAACAAAATCACTTCTAGTCGTTCAACAATTACAGCAATTGTATTTGTTTCCGGCTGATAAGCAATTCGAGAAGGACTTTCACCTAGTGGAACTGTTCTAATATGAAGTTTCTGAATATCATCGATTCTACCTGAAAAGGAGGTTT